CCGCCCACCCCCTTTTCCTCCCCAGCCACCAGGCCTGGCCCCCTCAGGATCTGCCCTAGGCCCTCCTCCCTCACAGCAGCTCCCTCTGCTGGGCACCCGGGGCATGGCCAGGGTCTGAACTTGACCCCTTGACCCTAGATAACGCAGCAGGAAAGGGTTCTGAGGGGTCATCTTGGATAACAATGCCTGGTCTTCCTGAAGGAAATAAAGGAACATGAGCTATTTCAACCCAGTCAAAACTTCTCCTGGGGAGGAGATTTCATAATTGTTCCAGTGTGAGGTCTTTTCTGAAGTCTGACCTCAGTGATTTCCATTCTTGCCTAAGCTGCCTTCTTCTTGGAACAGCTTCATCATAACTTTGCAGGAAGTGTTCCATGGTTTCTGTGTCCTTGGTAGCATCTTGCTGGGTTTTTCAGAACTCCTCAGAGTGCTGGTTTCTCTTCCTCGGCCATCCTCAAACCTCTGTCTTTCCTTGCAGGGTCTAAACGCTCCAAGTGAGCCATCGTTTGAGCCTCAAGCCCCAGCCCCCTACCTTGGACCCCCACCACCCCCCGCTTACTGCCCCTGCTCAGTCCACCCGGATGCCGGCTTCCCCCTCCCTCCACCACCTTATGAGCTCCCAGCGTCCACGTCCCACGTCCCAGACCCCTCGTTCTCCTACGGCAACATGGCCATACCAGTCTCCAAGCCAATGACCCTCTCGGGCCTGCTCAGCGAGCCCCTCCAAGACCCCTTAGCCCTCCTGGACATTGGGCTGCCAGCAGGGCCACCCAAGCCCCAGGAAGACCCAGAATCCGACTCAGGCTTATCCCTCAACTACAGTGACGCTGAATCTCTTGAGCTGGAGGGGACGGAGGCTGGTCGGCGACGCAGCGAGTATGTAGAGATGTACCCAGTGGAGTACCCCTACCCACTTATGCCCAACTCCTTGGCCCACTCCAACTACGCCTTGCCACCTGCTGAGACCCCCTTGGCCTTAGAGTCTTCCTCAGGCCCCGTGCGGGCTAAGCCCACTGCACGGGGGGAGGCAGGGAGTCGGGATGAACGTCGGGCCTTGGCCATGAAGATTCCTTTCCCCACGGACAAGATTGTCACTTGCCGGTAGACGACTTTAACGAGCTATTGGCGAGGTACCCACTGACAGAGAGCCAGCTGGCGCTAGTTCGGGACATCCGACGGCGGGGCAAGAACAAGGTGGCCGCCCAGAACTGTCGCAAGAGAAAGCTGGAGACCATCGTGCAGCTGGAGCGGGAGCTGGAACGTCTGGGCAACGAGCGGGAGCGGCTTCTCAGGGCGCGGGGGGAGACCGACCGGACCCTGGAGGCCATGCGCCAGCAGCTGACAGAGTTGTACCGTGACATTTTCCAGCACCTTCGAGATGAATCAGGCAACAGCTACTCCCCTGAGGAGTACGCGCTGCAACAGGCTGCCGATGGGGCCATCTTTCTGGTGCCCCGGGGGACCAAGATGGAGGCCACAGACTGAGCTGCCCCAGAGGGGTGGCACTGGCCCAGGGGATTTCCTTCACTTCCTCTGAGAAAGGTGCTCCCCAGTCCTGAGATTCAGAAGGACCTGAGTTCTCTAGACCAGAAGAGGATGACAATAGGAACAGGTGTTTGGAAGGTTGCCTTGAGTGCATGAGGGGAGGGCTGGAATCTCTCTTCCCTGACTGGCTTCTCAGGTCTCCAGCCTCCGTCTGTCTATGCTTTGGTCTATAAAGTACTCTACAGAAATAGCCTTCCATTGTGTCTTCCTTCTTGAGGGAGGGTGATAAAGTCACGCATTCCTTAGCATACCCGTTTGGGGTGGGGGTGGGGTGTTTCTGTCAGGCTCATGTGTCTCCCCTCAGGGCCTTGTAGGAGAGGTACACACAAAATCTGGGCTTGAGCAGTGTGGGAGCTACCATTTTCATCTCCTGTCTCAGAAGGATGACCCAAGGAACCCGCACTCCCTGGTGGCATCCCATGGATGGAGCTTGGAGAGCTGCCAAAACTGGGTAGACCCTCTCTATGAGGTCCCTGATCTTTGGGCCTCTCCTCTCTCAAACCTCGGAGCACAAGAAAGCCTAGAAAGCCCATAGACCTTATTTCTATTCTTCCCCTCCTGCTTACTTCTTAGTGAGCTGTTCTTGATTGGAATGAATTTGATATCAAGGTTTCAGAGGATTTCACACCCAAGCCTTGGTAAATCTGTTCCACTGTGGAGTAAAATGCTTCTGTGACACTTTTTCTCTGGCAATGTCAGACAAGGACTATAGAATTCCTGTTTGGGGGTTTTCCGTTTCTAGAATCCCTGAGGATATTGGCCTTTTTTTTTTCTTTTTAAAAGGACAATTGACCAAGCTTCAGACTCCTCAGCCCCATCAATCAAAGTCCAAAGCTCTCTGGCACCACTCAATTTTCTTGCTTGATGTTGGGGGATTTCCAGTAGTCCCAGTCACTGAATCATACAGCTTACCTCTGGAGTATTTTACTTCTAACCTTTCAGTTTTGCTTAGTTCCCCATTCCAACATGGAAACCTGTCTACCGAGTTCTGATACAGACACCATAGACATTGATTCCTAAAAGCCATGATTAAGAGAGTTGTGGAAACATCACGCCTACAGTCTGAGCAATTCTGAGCAATGTGGTCTCTAAATTGAGGTAATGAAAACAATCTGACGCTCTTTTTTTTTTGAGTTGGAGTCTCATTCTGTCACCCAGGCTGGAGGGCAGTAGCATGCTCCCGGTCACCGGAGTCTCAACCTGCTGGGTTCAGGTGATCCCTCAGTCTCAGCCTTTTTTATTTTTTATTTTTGAGTTGGAGTCTCACTCTGTCGCCCAGACTGGAGTGCAGTGGCCGCTCCCAGCCACCGCAGCCTCGACTTGCTGGGCTCCGGCGATCCTTCTGCCTCAGCCTTGCCAGTAGCTGGAACTACAGGCACGCGCTACCACGCCTGGCTAATTTTTTGACTTACTGTAGAGACGAGGTCTCACCAAGTTGCCCAGGTGGGTCTCAAACCTGCGGGCTCAGGCAATCCACTCATCTCAGCCTCCCAAGGCGCGGGATTACAGGCTGAGCCACTGAGCCCGGCTGTCTCAGCCTTTCAAGTAGCTGAAATTACAGGCACACACCACCATGCCCGGCTAACTTCTTTTCATTTATTATAGAAATGAGATCTCAAGTCGCCCATGGTGGTCTCGAACCTGCGGGCTCAGGCAATCGTCTCACGGCCTCCCAAAGTGCTGGGATTATAGGCCTGAGCCACTGCACCTGACGTTCTTAATAGATCTGAAAACAGTCCTGACACCTTGTTTTACTTATTATTGTTCTCTCAGAAAACTGGATGTTCCCACATTCCAAGTGACAAAAGGCAGGCCCTTGGGCTAGCTGCTCAATTTGATTTTATTAGTTCATCTAAGAGACAAGTGAGGTTTTCATTCTATCCAAGCTCACAAATGGTGGCAAGTCAGGCAAACTTAGAAAACTGACATCTATTAAACAAATATTTACCTAGATTAAGCTTTTTGTACTGAGACAGTGATCACACACCATAGTGGGGAAGATTATATACACTCATTTGGTGTGGGCTGACCTAAAGCAAAAGGTGGAAGAGTTATCTGGATTATGGGATCATCCAGTGGTTTTACGAACTTGGACGAGATTTTAAGTCAATTTTCTATAGTGGAATTTACTTCTCACAATTTCATATAAGCAAAGCATGTAGCAAAGTTCATGGGACTTAATGTTTCTCTTCAGTAATGCTTTTAGCAAAGCCCAGAGTCATCCTGTCCCTCCAAGGAAGCACTGTTCGCGAGAAACTACTAGCAAACTACAAGTCAAACTTAGAGCCCTGACTCCCTTCTAACAGATCACAAGCTAATGAAATACAACTTAGTCCTATATGCTGTACTTCAGCATAACATGGGCCTTCAAGAAAATTTTCCCTGAAATTTCCCCAATTTTCCTAGGTTCAAAAATGGGGGTTGATAACATTTCCTTGAAAATGCAGTCCCCTCTGAGGTGACATTGTAAATCTAGCAAAACAGCACAGTTTTAAAAATGTATTTTCTTGAAGTTTTCCATTCAAATTGCACACACAAAAAACAAAAGGGATGGAATATATACTGAGGTACGACTTATCAGTTGAGTTGTTTTCAGGAATCACAAGTGTGCCCTTACACTTAGCAGACTGGACAATTACATACTAATGTGGGAAGAGAACAAGACTACGCTGTCGGCTCAAATAAAAAAACACCAGACAAATGTCAAACTACCACTGTACATGCATCAATGAACCTGCAACGCATGTTGGCAACTTTCACGGTACCACACATTAGATTCACAATTTTGTCATGAGCTCCTCAATGCTCAAAATTCCATTGTAAGTCAAATTCATTACAGCAATTGGTTCCAAAGTTACACTATTTCATATGAAGTGATTCGTTGTTTCATAAAAGTGCAGTCAAGCTGCTGGTAGATGATCCATGAGATAGCTCTGAGTGCAAATACCCACACACTTGCTAGATGGTACAATTATTGCTTCTAAACTGCCACTAAGCTCTTGAGAAGTTAAGCCTTCCCTTCCACATTCAGTTCATTTCCTTACTCCTGGCTTGAGATGTCCTACTGAGTATGAGTAACTGGCCAATAAATAGAACTTGCTTGCCAAAGAGGTGTTCCATCACATCCCTCCACCACCTCACGGCAGATGGAAGCGTAACTCCCAGCAGACCCGAGTTCCAGGGCAGCTTGTACAAAACTTGATTTCCTCTTGCTAGGGGAGTCAGAAAAAGGGAATGCTCAACTGGAGCAACAGTAAACAGCTTACTTCTACTGAGCCAAGTTACTCCTGCAGTGAGTGCCTGTTTCTATTTTTATTAAACCATGATGCTGAATGGGATACATTTGAATAGTTAATGCAGAATAGAACTTGGAATAACTCAATCTTCCCCAGACTGAGTTTCAACACATTGTATTTACATGTTTTCTTTTAAATATTAGCTTCAAAGAACAATGACAACATATCTACATACCTTGTGCCTTGAGTTAAAAAGGTCAGGATATAACTTAGGAAAGGTTAAAGGATACAGTGAGGAAGCACTGGTAATGAAGGAAGGAGGCTCTAAACCAGACTGGGTGGCTCAGCCTGTAATCATGCACTTTGGGAGGCTGAGGCGAGTGGATTGCCTGAGCCCGCAGGTTCAAGACCCGCCTGGGCAACTTGGCAAGATCGCATCTCTACAAATAAAAAAAATCAGCTGGGTGTGGTAGCAGATGCCTGTAATTCCGACTACTCGGAAGGCTGAGGTGGAAGGGTTGCCAAAGCCCAGCAGGTTGAGGCTGCAGTGGCCGGGAGCGGCCACTGCACTCCAGTCTGGGCGACAGAGTGAGACTCCAACCCAAAGAAAAGAAATATAGAAAAAAAAAGGGAGGCTCTGTCAAAAATACTAGTTTACCTGAAATATAGAAAAAAAAAGGGAGGCTCTGTCAAAAATACTAGTTTACCTGACAATTGGCATATCACTAATACCTGCATTTCCCACCCCCAAGTCTGAAATGGTCAAGCATGTGTTGCATCATGTTATTTGCCACAAATGAAGACAAGTAAGCAAAACTAAGATAGATACCGTTTATTAAAAAACCCATTCACAAAATGGAATTAGAGCTGCTATGCAGCTCATGTCAACTGCATGGCAGTGAGAATGAAGTACAGTGGCTCAGATAAAGGCTGTCCTCACAAGAATGTTCCTGCAAAAGGCAAAAAAGAGTATTAAGTGTTTATACAAGGGGGAAGACTCCACAATTATACCATTCTCACTACTGGGAACACCTGGTTGCTTTGTTGACTATTTTTGCTACTAGATGAGACCTTAGCGATTTGGTTTCAGACACAGCTTTTTGCTCTCCCCTTTCTTTAGTTGGGAGTCTCTCTCTGTTGCCGAAACTGAAGTGCAGTGGCCTGATTACCACCCTAGGCTCAGGTGATTCTTCTGGGTAGCTGGGACTTCAGGTGCACACAATCATACGTGGCCAAGTTTTAATTTTTTTTGTAGTGACAAGGTCTTGCTATGTTGCCCAGGCTGGTCTTGAACTCCTAGCCTCAAGTAAGTGATCCGCCCATCTAGCCCTCCCACCCAAAAATGTTGGGATAACTGGCATGAGCCAATGCACCTGGTCATTCTTGCCCTTCACTTTGGGAGTAGAGCATTCTTGCTGACCATTATTTTACAAACACTTACCTTTTTGTCATTAACTTGGACAGATGAGTTTCTGGTTTTTTTGAGTTGGTAAGACTCTAGTGGCAGACTCCTCCCTAGAAAAGTAAAGAACCTTTAGAAGTAACTCTTTTCTAAGACCAAGTCCCATCTCAAGCTAAACCCCCCACCTCCCAATAATGTCCACCCACCCTCCCACCATTTGGGGAAGAGATTCTAATGCATTACTTTGAGCCATTGTTTTAAGGAAATGGGTCAAAGGAAGGTAAATAAAATTAAAGGGCAAAATCACAGTAGAAATAATGTAATTAATGTGCTCGCTTCCTTCAATTAGGAGTCACCCAGAATAGGGTGTCAATTTAAAGCAATCCATCTCCAGAAAAACCAAGTTCAGCTTAACTGGACTAGTTTTGGCTCAATAGATTAAGGAAAATGTTAATAGAAAACTGGATTTTAACTATATGGATGGAAGTAAAATCTGTTCTTACCTACCAGCATAGCAATAAAACCTTTTCTCCTGGTTCTGACTGCTAGTCC